GCAAGACATACTACACCCAAAATTTCCTCTAGCAATGTAATGAAAAATAGTTTCCAACTACTTACATCATCTTCTAACTCATGCAAACCATCATGCATATTTGTTGGTTTCATAATCCTTTCATGACATCGTCATTCCTGTATCTGAGTAAATCTTCTTCTCATGGTTGTATCTTTTAAGTCTACTTCATAGGAGTCTATCCTAAGAAGTCTGCATTATAGATGCATCTTAGCAAGCTCTACTAGCTTCAACTTGGTTCTCTGTCATTCTTAATCACAACATTTCTTCTCATATAATAATATGAGTGTATATCTTCTTCAACTAAATACTCTACCTTACTCTAACAAGTAAGCCACTCAGCCTTTTCACAACCAAATAACCTATTTCACTATCTCAATTTTTTTTGTATGTTAAATTCGGCTTAACACACAATGGAACTTCCATAAGGATGTGATAGAAAACAATCATCACTCGGTATTATTAAATACTAAGTCTGAGCATCCTGTATAGGGTTACTGCTCGAACTACATACTACATCACAAGGCCTTGGCCTATTGAGTCTAAAAACTTCATTAGCCTTTCCTTTGATCTTCATTTAATTCTTCTAAATCTTGTACTACATTAATTTCAATACTGTCGAAGTATTTATCACCAGCTTCGGTTCTTCCGACTCTATAAACAATCACTGCTTCAATCTGGACAGCGGTGGAACAACTTCATGGATTTGTACCAACACGTTTATCTCACCCAAACGTGTTTCAAACGCACATCTTTCTTCCAAAGATGTTATTATTTCATCAAACATACTTTAAATGTATAATACCACTCTATTGGTATTAATACATTATTTACGATAATATTTTATATTTATTATTTTACGATATCCCGATATCGTTTATCAATAAACTTATCAATGTCAACTATCATAAGTATCTTTATTACTTTGAAAAGTTTTATGTAAATTCTATTACGAAAAATCTTAGAATTTTGAACATAAAATTTTCTAAACCAAGGTCGGCAACAGACCTTAAACTTTCTCAAATAATAGCAATATAGGTATGAAACCTAAAGCATGCTATATTTACTTATCATTTAGCATTTAATAGAATAGAAGGCATATCTCCTTTTAATATTCTAGTGCTTACCCCATTAGGTATTCAACCTAAAATATACCAGATACATATTGTATCATCTTCACTTAACAATTCATGTTTTAAATCTAGAAATTCTCAAAATTCCTAGTTCACATAAACTAATTCTCTAAGATTTTTGAAGTAACTTAATGTCTTAGAATACTAGGGTTTATCACTACCCAATACCCCACTTAAGTATTTCCTATGGTTTGTATCCATATATTTACAATGATTCAGTTCATATATTGAACTTCCAATAGTTTAAGTCTAAATATCAACCCATGGAATTTAGTTCGCTTAAACCACTGCTTTGATACCATGATTGAAAGGACTCCTTTCTATACTTTCATATTTCTGAAAGACCCAAACTTTCATACTTGACAATATAGTTACTCCAAAACATGCTACATGCATATTTATAAAATAATATTTTACATTGATAAAGAGATTACAAAAGATTGGATACAAACCGACTATGTTTTAATATTTTACATAACTACCCAGGATATTGTAAATTTATACAAACATAAACAAAATACAAAAGTAATATTACAACTATTCTAAACCTTCCAACAGTATAAGACTATACTGGTTACTTATTCCCTGCAATTTGTTAAACATTGAGAGGGTAAGCGGCGACGCTTAGTGAGTTCAATAATAGATACAATATAACGTTATGCCATATATATATACTTCAATATGCCAGAAGCAAAGAGTAACAAGGAACAACAAAGGCATAATGCGAAAAGCTTTCCATATCAATCAATGAGACATAACAATTTCCATACTTGATATACAATCAATAAAGTTTCAGCACAAATGGCACAGAAAATACTCAGGAATATCATTTTGCTAGAATATTTAGGCTTTCAGCCTTATCTTAGCATACTACCGATGCCAAAGTGATGCATATGTCATGCACTTCATGGTCAACGGTTCATACCAATACCCAAGTGATGCTTATGTCATACACTTCAAGTCAGAGGTACAGCCTTGCTATAAAAATAGCAGAAACAACAACTCGAGATGATAACATGGAAAAGCACATAGCACGTATAACACATAACATACAATTGTTCCTATATATTAAACTCACCTTGAATTAACCGGGGGTCAAAATAATGATTTGTGCAGCATTTTGGCTCTAAATATGACTTTCGTCGTTGAAAACCGAGAGTTTTCTTGAAAACCGGGCCCTGCGAGGGTTGGGCTTCGAAACCGAAAAGATAAATTTTTCGGGCTTCTCGGGAATCTCGGAGCGTGTTTCGGGCATTGGAATTAATCTCGGGGCTTCGGGGGAAGTCGAAATGGCTTAAAATAAAGTTTAGGGGTGAAAAAGGGGCAAAAATAAACTCTTACCCGGGAAGTCTCGCACCTCCCTTATATAGGGTGCGAGACCGACCTTCGGATCCGAGAAGAGATGAGTCAGCGGACACGCGGCGTCAGCAGAGCGCAGCAGGTGGCAGGCTGCGAGGCCTCGGTTCGGACAGGTGTGCGAGGCGCGTCGGAAGGCTACTGGTCGCGAAGTTGGTCGAATCCGGAAGCGACACGCGGGTACTGTTCATGCGAGGATGAGTCATGGATCGGACACGGGGATTGGGCCGCTGCTCGGACGAATCAGAAGGCGACGCGTCAGCAGCTGGGTCTTCGGCTCTGACACGTGGCGCGATGACTCACCGAAATCAGCCTTATCCTTGCGAGATTTCTCGGAAATTGTGCCCCGACCTTCTAAAATCCGTAACTTTTGCATATGGGCTCCGTTTTTGACGTTCTTTATATGAACGCGTAGAGAAATATATGCTCTACAACTTTCGTTTAGACTTCGTCGGAAAATTTTGACTTTATTTTTATATTATTATTTTTAACAGACCGGGACTAGTAAATCCGTTAAAAATTCATAACTTCATCATCCGACGTCCGTTTTCGTCAGACTTTTTACCGTTGTACTGCTAATGACGAGACCTTCGATTCTCATTTAGGTTGTGTCGGCTAAAAATCACTCGATCTAAAATTCGAGTTTTTAGCTGTCTACTACTAAGCTGAAACTTGTAAAAATCATAACTTCCTCATACAAAGTCGGATTTTGGCGTTCTTTTTATCAAAATTCTCGGTTTAACGAATGCTACGGCTTTCATTTAGATCACTAAGGCTAAAAAATAGTTTATCAAAAACTCACTTTTTACGTCATTCGGCACTGTGCCGGTTTTATCGCGGATCTTCGATTGGTCATAACTTCTTCGTTATAACTCGGATTTCGACGAGGTTTTCGCCTACATGTTTCTAACAAGATTATCTACAACTTTCAATAATAAAATTTTACATATTTCAAATTTTATATTTTCGCTAAATTTCACTATTTGGCTTTTAATTGAAATCTCATAAGACTTCCAATAATTTATAAGTGATTCTAAACATAGTTTTACCTTATTTCTAGTAAAAACTATCTGTTAGAACTCAACACTCAATTTCACATAATATTTCATAATATTTTTAACTTTTTGGATTACATAACACGATTTCAAAACGTGTATGTTACAAATATAGTGTAGCCACAAAACATATAATTGCAACTCATATCATGTAACACTATAATGAACATGAAACAGAATTAGATAACCATATCATGCCAAAAAAACAGTTTCAAACAAAGCACCACCTTGTATGTATGTGTTACTCAAATATTATTAGGATTTGTCAAGTACACATAACAAAAGTTTATTCACTAGTCCTTAGCCTTGTTCTCTGTTCGCCACCATTTGCTGACTTTTTGTATATATATAATAGTCGTTAATTGTTTTTTTTTTTAAATATATTAATTTCTACCCTTATGAAATTTAGGACGTGTGGTACAAGGATTTTATAAGAAATATGCCTCCTATAAAGAACAATTACATACCTATAGAAGAACATAAAAATCATTCAAGATTTAGTCTTGATAATATTCGACAGTGATTCCATGAGATGCGAGAAATCCGTGATAATATTACACATATGATATGGGATGCACAAAATTTTACTTAAATACAAATAATCCGATAAATGTTTTTTAGTATTTACATTAATTTAATTTTATGTATTACATATTTTTCTTATTAATCTGAATCATTTTTGTACATGTCCTTATATGTCGTTTTATATTTCATAACTAGCTTATCAATGGATTTTTACCAAACATCATATTTTATCAACTAACTACTAACCTTTCAGCTAGTTTGTCAAACATAATCTTAAAGTATAATAATTAAAATAATATAGTTAAATTCTTCAAAAATATATTATGTACTCTAATTATATAGACTCTTGAAAACAATTTTAATATATTTAAAAGAATATTATGATAGTCTACCGCATAAACGAATATGAATATATTGTGGATGAGATATTTGAAATCACAAGAGAATAACTTTTGAAATACAATCAACACTAAAATCAAGTTATATGTCTATGTAGTTATTTTTTTTTTTCTAAAATTTTATGTTGATCAATTAAAGTCCTTGTGAAATCATGACTAATACATACAAATAATATCCATTGGCAATATTTGTTAATGATTTCATGTTTATAATTTTCAATAAAGCTAAAAATAAGTAATCAACAAATTAAGATAAACGGAAGGAATCCAGTTATTTGAAATCATGACTAATACATATAGAAAGTGAATTCAATTGGAAAAAAGATGTATGTTAAATTTAACTTGATATTAGAGAAAAGAATGTTGTAAATAGCATTAGAAACTATACTTGGAAGCAAAGCAATCTAAAAAAGTTAAGTTGATTTTGTGGAAATGGTATTTTGCCTCTACCTTATTTTATATAAATTTAATGAAGGGCTAAATATGTCATTTTGCACAAAAAAGAGAGAGAAGATATGGAAGAGATTAACCATTTTAGTCATAAAAGCCATCCATTAAAGCTCCTCAACTCTGAGACGATTGTAGGTGGTAGTGTCAATGGTGGTGAGGAGAAATCAGGATTGATTGGTTGTCATGCATGTGAAAAATCCATATCAAGTGATTTTGCATATGCTTGCATCCAATGTCGTTACTTTCTGCATAAAGCATGTGCACAACTTCCACACACTTTCAATGACCCTTCCTTATATCATCAACATCTAACACTTACTGATTTGAATGATCTAGATTCCAGATTTTGGAGTTGTAATGTGTGTCGTATTCGAAAGAAATCTGGGGTGTTTTCGTATACATTTCTTAAGGATAACACATACATCTTTACAGCTTGCATTGATTGTTGTGTTGCTAGAATTGCTTGCAAGGCTGAGGCAGATGCTATCAAGGAGGAGGCAAAGAAGAAGGTTAAACATGAAGGCCACCCACAACACACTTTAAGCCTCAAATTAAGACCTGCTGCATTCCGTTGTGATGCTTGCAATACTTATAAGGATGAAGGCTTATCCTATGAGTGTGATAGTTGTGATTTTTGGATACACAAGACTTGCGCTTCCTTAGCACCTACCATCCAACTACCCCATCACCCCAATCACGAACTTGTTCTTGTCTATTCGCTTCCAGAAATATTCTTTAATTTCTCATATTATTGTGAAATTTGCAACAAATACATCCAACGGAATGAGTGGTTGTATCATTGTGCAAATTGTAGATTTTTTGCACATATAAAGTGTGCCTTGCATGCAGAACGTCCTTCAACTCCAAGGTAAATAAAACTTCTTTACTTTCTTTTTTGTGTGTGTTTGTGAATGCTTGTTCTAATCAAGATTATGTGGTTGCAGAGATGGTCTGAGTACTGTTGATGAGGATGAAAATGGTTTGCTGCATTTTCCCATGTCAGACGTGTTTACAGATCCATTGAAACTACTACATTTTGAAAAGATGACTCGAGATGATGATGAAACAACTAATATTTACCACTGGAGTCATGAACATCCATTAATCCTTCATGTTCAACCTAAACCTAACAACATGTCTGGTTGTAGTGATCCAATTGAGGTATGTTTCGGGTGTGTACGACCCCTCTCCCTTCCATACTATAGTTGCAAAGATGGATGTTCCTTCTCTCTCCACAAATATTGTGCCGAGTTACCACTCAAATTACAACATCCACTTCACCCAGATCATTCCCTTGACTTGATAAACACAATGCGACATAAGAACTACTATAAATGCATTGGTTGTCATAGCCTTAGCAACATGTTTTTATACAGATGTGAAACTTGCGAGTTCAACCTCGATGTCAACTGTGCATTTCTACCCAACACCATCAAACATAAATCCCACAAACATCGTCTTATCCAAGTTATCGATCCTAAACCTATTTGTAATGCATGCAACAAGTGGTTTAGTGGTATAAGTTATGCTTGTAAGGCTTGCGACTTCTTATTAGACATGTTTTGTGCAATGAGATCACCAGATTCCATTGGTCATAGGTATTGCAAAGGACATGAAATCCCCTTGACGTATCCCCCTGTCATGGATCACCCGGAAGATTTCTATTGTGATATCTGTGAGGAAGAAATGCACCCCAAGCTCCCCCTCTATTATTGTGGCAAATGCAAAAATTCTTTTCACCTTGATTGCATTAGTCGAATCAATTATTATGCAAACATTTTCCGCGAGGGCACCTTGAATAATTCATGTCACAAACATCCATTAACATTTGTTTGGAGAAAGAAAACGCCCAAGTATGTATGTTCTATTTGTAATCAAGATATTAATGGTTATTTGACCCTCGAATGTCGGGCAAGAGTCTGTAATTTCAGTATTTGTTATGATTGCTATAATAATTACTAAATCATCAATCATGTAATACGATTAGGAAATAAGGAAGGGCCCTGTCATTGTTTCCATTAATTATTTCTATATGTTGGTTTTCACTTCCTATGAGTCTTAAATTCAAACGATATTTGCTCATAGCAATTACATTTTCAATTTGTATGCCTTCTTCAAGTGCGACTTAAATAATTTTGGCAAAATTCTTATTTGAATGAAGAAACGAAATGTCCCGTAAGCAGATAAATTGTTATCCTGATGCTTGGGGTGCTCCAAAAATGATGAGTTTCTAATAGATATCAACCTTTAACAACTCTATAATCTATTCAAATTACCGAAGAATTCTTATTTGAATTCTATAAATAAATTCAATGCCTATTTATTCATACAATATATTGTTCATAAAAACTAATAACCCGCATGGCTAAAGGCCATGATTTTCTGCAATGCTTATGAAATCCTAAAGCCTTTCGGATACTAATGCTAAGTAGGAAATGATTGAAATTCGAATACATGAACTAGTCGGCCATTGGAAACTTATAAAAAACCAGAACCTTGATGTAATTAATGCATTATATAATGGAAATTGAATACAATGACTTATGAGTTTTAGTTACATAACATGAGGAATCACATTCAATCTCCAGTCAATTATATTTGAATTAGTTATATGCAAGAAGGTTAGTGATACCACACTGGTTTCCTAGGTCTCTGTGATCTTTTTGGTGTTTTGAATTCGGATGTTGTAGAAAAACCATACCTTTATGTTTTGGTAATAATATACATATGGCCACATGGAGTATTCTTTATTCTATCTTAAATTGGTTGCTCCATTTCCGCAAAATGATTAGCTTTATACCAAAACCTGCAATCAAGCCTTCATTTGTTGATTTGCTTAATGAACAAAATTCTTTCTAAATATATTTAGAATGTTTTATAAGAAAGCAAACTAACAAATATCATCTCTAAACCATCAAAATACCTGTAGACTAATTGGGGTATGGTTTAAATTTGATTACCCTTTGGTGCTGCTCCAATTTTCATTTTTTTGTTACTTGGGGTTACTCTGTTTCTCGATTTTGCTTAACATTTGGGGATACTCTGTTTTTCAAACATAAAGACCTAAAGAAAATTGGAGTTATGCTTTATCTCATACTTGAATTCCTCCTTTATTCCGACTACCATATCAATCAAATTAAGGGTTTCGATTTAAATCTTAATATGTTACAGAAACACAGATCGATAAATAATAAAACATGCCCTGAAAGCTCTTTTCTTAAATTTATTACAGAAACAGATGGATAATTGAAAAAACACACTAGGGATTTAGCTATTGTTTTGATCTTCCAGCAATTTTGTTTTTCTATTTTGTAATGGCTTTAAAAGCCTTTTTGTTCTTGAATAAAGGTGTGGAAAATTATGAGTTGAATCAATTAATTGTCATCACTTGTCTTCAACAAGTGGTATCAGAGCGCAATTCCATTCACAAGTGTTCCGAGAGTGTTCAAGAAATCGTTGCTATGGGGGAGGAAACAAGACAGTTTCATGTTCCTGGTGTACCCAAATTCGCTAGAGATTACGACCATTGGAGTATGGTAATGGAAACTCTTCTCCAATCTAAAAAATTTTGGCAAGTGGTAGATGAGGGGTACCAAGTAATCAGGACAGGGGAGCAGGAAACAGCGACACAACAGAAGAACTATGATGAGAGAAAGCTTAAAGGAAATGCTATGAAGCAGACAACTAAACAGATATGGGATGCTATGAAGCTCAAATATCAGGGAAATGCTAGAGTAAAACAAGCTCAATTACAGTGACTCCGTAGGGACTTCGAGATGCTAGAGATGAAAGCAGGAGAAACTGTTACCGACTATCTTAGTCGTGTCATGGTCATTTCAAATGATATGCGGAATGCTGGTGAAGACATGAGTGATGTGAAGATCGTAGAAAATGTACTAAGGACTATGCTAGAAAGTTTCAACTTTGTGGTTTGTACCATAGAAGAATCAAGGGATCTTGATACCATGATAGTAGATGAGCTTCAAAGCTCATTACTGGTTCATGAACAAAAAATTAGAAGAAAGGTGAACGATGAACAAGTCCTAAAAGTTGAAAATGATCAAAGTACTGGACATGGAAAAGGCCAAGGTAGAGGGAACACAAATAGAGGAATAGGGAATGGTCGAGGAAGATCACAAAACGATAACAGGCCATAATTCGACAAGTCTCAGATTGTATGGTCTTCCACCCTCAACGAGGTTTGATCATTTCATCCAATATAAAAAAGAACAGGATGTTCCCTGTGTATGTTTCATTCCAACCTCAACAACTGGAATGCCTACAGGTTAGTGATGATTCTAAGACTTAAATTTGGCACAAGAGGTTTGGACACGTCAACCACAAGACTATCAGAACCATGTTGTATAAACAAATGGTGAAATGACTACCCTCAGTTGCTGAGAAGCATGCTATATGTGAGACCTATGCCATTGGAAAACAAAAAAGAGAGGCGATACCCAAGAAGACCAAATGGCACACAACAGAGAAGCTGTAGTTGATACACAAAGACTTATGTGGGCCCATCACTCCTGTCTCAACCAGCGGAAAGTGGTACATACTCATGTTTATAGATGACTACACTCGAAAGTCATGGGTTTATTTCTTGTCACAAAAAGATGAACGTTTTGAAATGTTTAAAAGTTTTAAAAGATCTATGGAAAAGGAAATTGGCATGAATATCAAGTGTTTGAGAAGTGAAAGAGAATGTGAGCTCACCTCAAATGTATTCAATGATTTCTGTGAAGTTCAAGGCATTAAAAGGCAGCTAACAGCCGCCTACACCCCACAATAAATAGGGTTGTAGAGCGACGAAACTGAACTCTCATAAACATGGTTCCATGCTTATTAACAGAAAAGTCAATGCCTACGTACTTTTGGCCAGAAGAAGCAAGGTGAGCGTGTCATGTGTTAAACAGGTATACGAGTAGGAGGCTTGAAGAAAATGTACTAGAAGAGTTCTGGACGGGGTCTAAACCAAGTGTTGAGCATTTTAAGGTATTTGGATGTATAGGGTATGTACATATACCTTGCCATTTACGAACAAAACTGGATGCAAGAACTCACAAGTGTGTGTTTCTGGGAGTTAGCCAAGAATCAAAATCATATCGATTGTATGATCCATCAAGAAAGAAAATTTTGATCAGCAGATACGTGATTTTTTAGAGTAAATTACACGAATAGTCCATATGGTTTAGGCTAATTTGCGTGTTTGGTCCCTAACTTATTTTTTTAACTCGGAAAGTCCCTACTGTTTGTTTTTGTTACGCGTTTGGTCCCTGTCTTACCTAAAAAGACATTTTTGCCCTTAATTTTTTGATTTATTTAGATAAACATACCCCCAACGCCACCTCCCTCACCTTATTTTACCTACCCCACCATTTTTCCATATTTAAATAATAATATTTTTAGGTAAGAAAGGGACCAAGCGCGTAACAAAAACAAAAAGTAGGGACCAAACGCGTAACAAAAACAAACAATAGGGACCTTCCGAGTTAAAAAAATAAGTTAGGGACAAAACACGCAAATTATCCCAAACCATAGGGACCATTCGTGTAATTTACTTGATTTTTTATGAGGATGCAACTTGAGATTGGTCTAAAGAGAACCAGAGAGCACAAGAGCTAATTATAGAAGATGATCATTATGATTTCCGATGCTCACGATTGGTTCATTGGTTTGTTGTTAATTATGGTTCTCTATTGAACCTCACCATATATATATATATATATATATATATATATATATATATATATATATATATATATATTGGCTTTCTCTTCTTCTTGTCGTGTAGTCAAGCACTCCTTGCTCATCATAGCAAATTTGTACATGTTTTCAATGTGTATACCTTCACTAAGTGTGGCTGAAAGAATCATTGCAAATTACATAACAATTTTCAATATTACATCCGATCTGGATTCACTATATATGACATGTTTTTAGTTAGATCCATTACATTCTTTTGTATTCTAATTAGAAACATGCACCTGACTGACTGAGGAAAAACAAAGAACAATAAGCCACACGCATTACATCGAGCACCTTACAGGCAGAAAAGAACACGAAATCACACATCACTTTGTCTTTGTAAGCAAGAAAAAAATTAACAACCATTGCTAAATTGCTTATATATAGAGAATAACTGCATGTTAAATCCTCAATTGCCTAAAAAAGTTTAATTTGAGTTATTTGTTTACTCAACAAACAAGTACCATCCGCCATTAAAGAACATAGCAATTTACTCGAGCAGCTCCCCTAACTTTATGTTAAACCCCGACTTTATGATCGTATAGCTGATGCCTACTAGCGGACAAACGGGTCAAGAACTCCATTTACAGATTCATAAACCCCAAAACCATATAATTAGAATAAACACATAAGCTTCTTGTTATCAACTGCAAATATATATGGAGTTGAAACCGATGATTTAACAAAATTCAATTAGGTTTGATAGTTTGAAATTACCATTGATTACTCTTATTAGATAATGTTTATATTTAGTCTATATTTAGTTTACATATATTGTTGTATTTACTATTGTAAACTATATCTCCTCATTTAAGGAGATCAGTTGTAATCCTTGAATATATATACGATACCTCACTCTCAATTAGAG